AATTTTACTTTGAACAATGCGAGATCGATCAATTTTTTTCATCGAGCCATAAATAAAATATTTCGAGTAAAGAGTGGTGAAAAAAAATTCACTTTACGAAGGATAACGAGCCGATTTCACGTCCGCGTGTGACGAAACCAGTTTGCCGAAGATTAAAACGGTATTATCATAATGTCCTCCTAATAAAACACGGCTGACAACTCGCGGGATATCCAAAATACACGTTGCCCGGGCACGGCGAACCGTAAATTACGGTTCCTGGTCATAAGTCAAGCGCGATCGACGTGGATAGGCGAGCGTAATTTTCGGATTCAGCTGGTAACACCCAACGGAGGCCGAGGCACGGTAATTTAAGAGCACAATGCGTAACCTGGCTGTCCGTAACGACGCGAGTTAATTGACCAAACGTCATTGACCGGGTAAATTAGAAAAATCGTTAACATAGTAAAAGTCGTGGCCGTCCGCTGGCCTCATTTCAATGATTAATTGTTTCTAATACCGCTTCGGCCTCTGATAGCTGCTTCGACAGCCACCGTTGCCAGAGATTAACCACAAAAACTCGTTTCCTTACGCAGCGATCGTCGATCTCTTTTTATTCTTTACGTTAAACAAGAAATTTTATCTTTAATTTCCTTTCCTTTCATTTTTCCAACTTAATTTGTCCCTCGCGTGTCAGGTTGACGTAACCAATAGAACAAAAAAGGAAATTGTTTTTTTTACGAGTGTGAGTACAAGTGTTCGTTCTCCCTTGTATGCCTCTTATTTTGTATATTAATTTAAAGATAATTCAGCGATTCGCGCAAGGCAATTTGTTTGTACATTTTTATTGGAAAGGGACAGAGTATATGAAACTAGTATTTTGAACAGTGGAAGCAGATGTCAACAGATGTCCGGTTATACCCTGAAATATGAACTCGTATTCCTGAATAATTTCCCAAGTACTTATCTGAAACCTACAGTTACACCAAATGTTGGCACGGAATAAAAACTCCCACTTCAAATACGCCAGAAATGTTCTTATTTAGTTAGTTTCTTAATAAACAAGTTGCATTTAAAATATTCTTTTACTTAAAGTTAATATTATTTCTTTTAATCCTCGAATAACCTGCAAGGATTATAACTGAGAGCGTGCAAACAGAACGTTTTTGTAGAGGAGAGATTTTATCTAAAGGCTTTAGTACTTAAGTAAGTTAAATGGAGATCGAGATTACGATATAATTCGCCGTATCTTAAATTGAATGAAGTTTTCTAATATTTAATGAAATCCAGTTTAATATTTAAGAAACTTGGCATTGCATAAGGATACTATACCTATATGTATAATATATCGAGCGTCTGTTTTATATGAAATAATGAGCCATGATTTCTAATGTAAAATTCATTCGATACTAGAAACGTAATCAAAATAGGAAAGAGATGCATAGGAATAGTTTCATTGGAAACTGGTTTCCCATACATAATGTAAATTCACTAACGTACAATAATTAGTTTGCCGATGGAGATAGAATAAAACATGTTTCCTGTGACAAGAAGGAATTATTGAAAGACATGCAAAGATCGAATCCATGAATCATCGATCTAATTTTACTTTGAACAATGCGAGATCGATCAATTTTTTTCATCGAGCCATAAATAAAATATTTCGAGTAAAGAGTGGTGAAAAAAATTCACTTTACGAAGGATAACGAGCCGATTTCACGTCCGCGTGTGACGAAACCAGTTTGCCGAAGATTAAAACGGTATTATCATAATGTCCTCCTAATAAAACACGGCTGACAACTCGCGGGATATCCAAAATACACGTTGCCCGGGCACGGCGAACCGTAAATTACGGTTCCTGGTCATAAGTCAAGCGCGATCGACGTGGATAGGCGAGCGTAATTTTCGGATTCAGCTGGTAACACCCAACGGAGGCCGAGGCACGGTAATTTAAGAGCACAATGCGTAACCTGGCTGTCCGTAACGACGCGAGTTAATTGACCAAACGTCATTGACCGGGTAAATTAGAAAAATCGTTAACATAGTAAAAGTCGTGGCCGTCCGCTGGCCTCATTTCAATGATTAATTGTTTCTAATACCGCTTCGGCCTCTGATAGCTGCTTCGACAGCCACCGTTGCCAGAGATTAACCACAAAAACTCGTTTCCTTACGCAGCGATCGTCGATCTCTTTTTATTCTTTACGTTAAACAAGAAATTTTATCTTTAATTTCCTTTCCTTTCATTTTTCCAACTTAATTTGTCCCTCGCGTGTCAGGTTGACGTAACCAATAGAACAAAAAAGGAAATTGTTTTTTTTACGAGTGTGAGTACAAGTGTTCGTTCTCCCTTGTATGCCTCTTATTTTGTATATTAATTTAAAGATAATTCAGCGATTCGCGCAAGGCAATTTGTTTGTACATTTTTATTGGAAAGGGACAGAGTATATGAAACTAGTATTTTGAACAGTGGAAGCAGATGTCAACAGATGTCCGGTTATACCCTGAAATATGAACTCGTATTCCTGAATAATTTCCCAAGTACTTATCTGAAACCTACAGTTACACCAAATGTTGGCACGGAATAAAAACTCCCACTTCAAATACGCCAGAAATGTTCTTATTTAGTTAGTTTCTTAATAAACAAGTTGCATTTAAAATATTCTTTTACTTAAAGTTAATATTATTTCTTTTAATCCTCGAATGAGCTTTCCAATTTCCAAATTTTTGATTATTTATCAGAGCGAAGCTCCGAGAAAATATATCTTCGAGTCGCGTTAAACTGGAGCACGTCGAGGACTGACGAAGGAGCCAAGGTAAGCTGCAAGTAATTGTATAACCGGCTTCCGAGAAACGGAATGTGTGCATGTTGTATCCTCGACGTTGCCAGCCGATTCGATGATTCGATCGTGACGAGCATTTTTTGATGACAAAATCATAAATATCGAATGGAACATCCATTATAATTATCAGATCTAGTAATAATTAATGTCGTTTTCCAATACATTTCCATAAACTAAAAAACGACACTAATTATTACTAGACCTGACAAAATAATTTCAATAGCATAAACGAATCGTTTTTCCATTTTATCTGGTCGAGCTAATTAAACCAGAAACTCCTTCACGCCAACAGTCGAATCGGAAAAATTGTTTGTACAATTCTCGATTCTAAAATGACAGAGGTATGAAAGAAGCAGATCAAAGTGCACACGGTTACACTTTTCTAAATTCGACGGCGCGATGTGAGGCGCGTTCGCGAAACAAAGGGAACAATGGTCGAAACGTAAGGGAAGGAAAAACTGGCCAAATAAGCCTGGAGAGGGCGAAGTAACGAAGCATATAATAACCCAGGGTGACGTTCGAACAAACAGCCATCTGTAGGTAATACCCCTGTGGTGTGTAACGCCCCGAAAACTGCAGCCCGCCAAGAAATTACAATGACAATGAACGAAATCCGATCCGCCTGCGGGCATACTCTCTCTTTCTCTATTTATTCTTCGCACCTCCGACATAAAACCGTGTTCAGAGTCGATCCTGACCGGTACACACCTTTCCCACCATTGTATCATTCAAAGAATCACAAGGGTTGCTCTATTAGCAAGTTGAATAAAGTAGAAGCATAAATCGAATGAAGTATTCGAATCCATATAAAATTCTGATAAAAGCTAAGAGATAATTAAATCTGATCTATAAGTAGTATTTCTCTACTCAAGTCACGAGCGTCTATCGGCTAATTATAAAGCAAGCGCGACCTGGTTATCGGTTCTCGAGAGATTCCGCGATTTCCGTTGAGGAGGAATAAAATAACCGCGTGACACTTTCGCAACGCGCGGAGTTAGCCGGGATTCCTCTCGCATGGGCCAAGAGAAGCGCAAGTTTCCTTATAATAGAGGAATCCGCGACATCCTCCTGCCGCGTCGGATAACTGGTTCAGCGTTACGCAACCGGCTACATTGGGCAGCGTCTATTCGTTCGCGCAACACGTCCAGATAGGAAAAACCCTGTCGCGTGTCGAACGAAAGCGTGTTCCGTACAAATCGGTTATCTGTATGCTTATAGTTCTGAGAATCTGGAACGGGATTGGCGTGAAAGTGCGACCCACTATCGGCCGGCCGATTTTATTAGCCGAGCTTAGAAGATAAACCTTTAATTAGGCCGATGACGTACGGACTTTTACCTGGTTCGATCTTATCTAGCCTTTTTCGTCGAAGGAAAATAAGAAGCGATAGCGTTAGCGGATTTGAGAACATGAAGGTAATTGGGTGTATAATTTGCTAATTTGTTCGGTGGGCTAGTTGGTTCACGGGTGGCTTTTATTCAGGTTATCTTAATTGCTGGAACAGTGCACGACCAAGGAACTGGTTAATCTTTTATGAAACGTTCCTTTTTATTTTGCTGTATGATGGAAAGCATTCGTCTTATTACATTTTTGAGTCGATTAAATGACATAATACGGATCATATAAAAATTATTTGAATTAACGTGATAAGATTGCCAGTTTTCAATAAATATGAGTCGACAGCATAAGATAAAAATCAGTGATTTCAACGATATCTGTCTTGTTAATTCAACTACTGTTGAATTCGTATTAACTTGACGTCATACGAAGAATTCTATCTATCTTTTTACTTGTTTAAGGCATCGTCCATTTACCGGAGAGCTACCGATATGACGCGCAGATAGATAAATCCTAATTAAAAGTGACAAGTTGCCAACGCGGCTGCTTGATACTTCCGGTGCAACGGTCGAGAGTTCATCATTTCCTTTCTCTTTATTTCAATCCAATATAAAAACGTTTGATAATGAGCATTAGAAGAAACAAATTTAATAGTAATAAAATTGTTTCTTTGTTTTATACAAAGTGTTTGTTGCCTGTACAAGAAATCAGGAAATTGGTTACTCACTTTTTAGTAGAGGCAGGTCGTTCATGAATCCTCCGTCGTCTACATTTGTGTTCTGAAATAAAAGTTTTATACAAAGTGTTTGTTGCCTGTACAAGAAATCAGGAAATTGGTTACTCACTTTTTAGTAGAGGCAGGTCGTTCATGAATCCTCCGTCGTCTACATTTGTGTTCTGAAATAAAGAATACAAAAGCACATCAACTTTCCGTATATTCTAATTAAACAATTTGCTTCTCTATACAATTTCTCATAAAATGAAACTATGAAGTAATAGCTTGCATTTTGCTTCACATGTTTCACGATAAGATGAATCAGAGAAAATCAGAATCGAATCCTTAATTTATCAATCGATTGAATGATCGAATTTCGTAATTACATTTTGTAAAAATCGCTGGAATTTTGGTCAGCGAATTAGTGAAAGCACAAGAACAAGTAGAATGGTAATAGAGAAAATGCATTGGGATTACGTACATCGTCGCTCACCTGGGGGTCGTCTACGAGGCTGCTGTGGAGAACGAGATCGGTTTGGTCGAGGCCCGGGGGTGGCAGGAGGGCGTCGGGACGACGAACGGCGCCGTATTCGACGCCCCTACCGCCGCCACCTCCACCTCCTCCGCCTCCACCACCGCCTCCACTATTGCGTCCACCGTCGTACGGGAACGACGCGTGCATGTTCGTCTGAAATTCATAATACATCAAACTTGTCATTAATTTCATTCAAGCATAACGATCATGAAATATCAATAAATTTTAATGATTTTTAATTTGAATATTTCATACAGAGCGAGTGTGTAAGAGTATCGTATATAACTTGTTTAAAGATTTTATCAAGTGTATGATTTCATTATATGATGGACGAGGACTAAATAAATGCCCCGTTGCATTTTCGTAAATTAAAACGCGTTTCTGTCAGGTTTAATAATGAAAATCAAAGATTGATAAACGATATATTTCTTATTGACTGACCCTGCATAATTTTTAATATAATAAGCTTATTTATTGTGTTAATTGATGTAGATGTGATGTTACATCAATTGTCGCAAGTGCTGCTGCCGGTAGAGAGACAAAAAAAAGACATCGGCCACTTCCATTCAAGTTATTGGCGATTACGAAACCTGCGATGCAACTAAGAAAAAATTGTTCAATGGAAACATTTACGTACGTACGCGAAATAATCGCGGTATAATTAGACGGCAAGTATGTCGCAGTCTATCCGCGTGAGTGAACCGAGTTCTCTTCAGAGACACGTGCAAACGACTTTATTTTTTGTCGACTGTCAACGCGTTGCATTATGCGCAGGTCACTCTTCGTATTATTCTATTTTCAACTTGATATCTCAACTGTATTTTAACATCCACCAGATCGAACTTAATTCGTCCATCTTTATTGTTTCTTTTCGTCGTCCGTGAGAATTGGCCCAGTCTTCTGAGAATTTTCAAACGTTTTTGTTCATACAGCAGTTGAGGCGCAATTTGCGTGTAATTTTCGTGCACCGGTGCTGATACGCTTAAAGCTATATTCCGTAATTAACCATAAATTCGTCCGGTGACATCGAGTTAATTTGACTCGAGTATTAAATAAAGTTTCGACCGGGTACGATAATTCCGAGGCGTACACGAAGTAAACGTCAGATATTAAAACCAATTAAAAGCCCCATACGCCGGACGATTACGTAAATCATCCTGTCGTACTGTTAAAAAAATATATCATTCATTGAGGAAAATTAACATTATAATCAGATCGATTTTTACTAATTTACTACACGCGTGGCTATCCTCTTTCCAGTGAGTAAATTATTCATAGAAGTTGTAACGGCATCGGATTAAACTTGAGACGAGATGAAAATGGATATTTAATTACTCTGCTTATCAATCGAGTCTTTCATAGAAGTATGTCAAAATATATTAATTAACGACAAGGTATGTTGACACGCGGATTAAATCTTTGAATTAAATCTTACGTAAGAATCGGTGGACGTGTGTGAGTAAGCACTTACGTTAGAGGACGGTCTTCTAAGAATTGAAACAGACATACGTTCGGAATCTTAATCACATCCAACGAGAAAAACCAGAGATTTTATCCAGACTGCAAGTCGGTCGTGTAACAAATACGGTTGTATTACAGGCCCTTGCCATTATTGTCATATATCTTTCCTATTCCTCCAGCATCGGGAACAAATCTCGCACGTTTCTCTCATTTCCCCGTCAGATTCGTTCTATTGTAATGATTTTGCAACTATTCTAGATCTAGCGATACCTTCCTTTAAGCAGCGAATGTTAATGGCAAAAATATAATTGATAAATAGAGTCAGATAAAATTGAAATGAATTTAGTGAATACTTCCACGTGTAACTTTCGTCGATTAGGGCAAAGTGCTTCATAATCACGTACATTAATAATTCTCAATCACGCTAAGGTCGTTCATCAGCGTTTAGAAGTAACAAATTTGCGCACTGATCATAGGAACGCGTTATCTCAAAAATTCGTGTTTAGCTAGGATTAACCCGATCATTTATCAACGTGACCCGATTAGCGACACTAACGAATCCAGATAAGACCACAGCCGATGATAAACGCGAAATTGTTCGATCCCTGCGCCCCGGATCGTCGCGATGATTTGATCGATCGAAAATCGCTTGTTCCCGGCCATTTAGAGTCTGGCTTTCACGCCGGCCAAAGAAATGGAAACGCGGTGCGCTAATTAACTCGGCTAAGTGGCCGCGGCCGACTCTACCTGCTAAGCGCCTATCGACGGACAGTGTTAGTTATAAATTGATGTAACCGTGCCGGCCGACTAATGAGATGAAATGTGATCGCCTTTCTCTCGTTAAACGCTCGGCGACCGGTATCGATACTGATAAGTGGGATAACCCTACGGATATAACAAGACCTTACCGTGTGTACTCCTGCCGATTTTGTTTTGCGACAATAAAATCGAGATTAGTGGAAATAAATAAATAAATAAATAGACTATCGACTTCATATATTGAATGTGCAATAAATATAAAATAAACATAACATGCAATGAATAAGTATATATAAAGTATTAAGAAATTAGTGCACATGGCAAATATTTAATAATAAATTGAAATGAGTTTTTGAAACATTTATTTCTATATGAAAATCTGCAATTGATTGATAAGTAACACGGTTCCTTTTTCTTCTTATCATTCTTATAGAATGGTCTCTATCTCAATGAGGGAATATATCTAGATTATCGGTATTGTTCGGTAAGTAGCCGGCATTTAACTCTTTCCCGTGAGAAAGGCGCGTTCAACAATGAGACAGATTCACCGAATCTAAGATCCCCTGGCGAAGAGCCTGTCACAAATTGTACTCTCTCGAGCATAAATGTGGGATCGTGAAGGGAACCAGACGAGATACTATAATTCAGTATAAAACGCGTGGGGTAGAGTACGAGGAGGAGCCAGCTCGTTTTCAAGGATAAAGCTATTGGAATCGGTCGAACCACTTGGCTGATTATTGGCATTGTCGTCCTCTTTTTTCACAATCCTATCTTTTTCTTCAAACGCTTCTCACAGATTGATAAGCACAGTCCTATGTTGGATATACATTTTTATTGATATTACTTTTAAATATCTAATGTATTAATTTATTATTTCAAAGAAACATTCGTTTCGGAATATTGCGTAGTCAATATGTAATACTGAATCCAATCTTGAATCAATATAGCATCCCAAATCGTACTTTGATTCTCAATTTTTCTAATCAAATGATCAATCATTTATTTCTATAAGATTTCAATTTGTATTCAGACTCTTTTTCGCATAACTTTAGCCACTTGAATCGTTCTACTGAAATCGAGCGTATCACTGTTATCCAATTGAAGGGTGACGCAACATTAGTCATCGGCTGGAAAGCGCTTATTAATCATTTTATCGAGATCTGTGATTACCGATTACACGGCGATCGATTATTACACGCTTGCAATGCATTTCAGGCTATTTATGCTGCAAATGTCGTTTTTTCTCGCGTCGTCGTGAAACAACAAAGAAAAAGGATAGGTCTAAGGAAACCGTTTACCCCTTTTACCTGTCTCCTAACACTGTCTTAAGGATTGCAGTGCTTAGCATATTTCCGTCAAAGTAAACGTCCCTGGTATGCTCCCCGAGGAAATACCAAAGGTCAGCCGAAAATTTAATAAGTAAATTACTTGTGAGGGTGAGCGACGAACGTCCCGCGAGGGTGGTTTATTTCCAAAGTATCGAGCCAGCTCCGACATTAAAAGTATTCTCTATCTTGCGATTAATAAACTTACGAATAATCTTGCATTCTAATAAAAATAGTTCATTGAAACATAGTTCTATTTTATAGTAAAATGAGATTTTGTGTTCATTGTTATTAAAATATTTCTCCAAGTCCGTGAGATTATTATTTATCATAATGACTAAGAAAATTGTACCATAAATTTTATTTAAAATTACTGCAAGATTTTAAGTTCCGCACGTAGTTCCAACGCTACGTGTCCCTACGAAATAATCGAAGCATGGTTGTTCTCGATATCGGAGGATGGGGCAGACAACCGAACCGGAGGCTCTAAGGGTGGCAAGAGTCAACGCGTAGTCGTACATCGACAAGTTTCCTAACTATGATCAACTATGCAAGATACCATTATTGCGTGTAGTTCGGTGTTCAGGACTTTGTGTCGCGTACAACTATCTCGTCTTTTAGCAAAACCGAAAGTCTACCAGATAATCGCGTAAGTTCGCGCGAGTTTCCTAAGATCATGAAATTCGATCACAGAATTAAGCAAATAATTTAATGAAATTATATCAAGCAAAATTGTCGCTTAACTATGAAACTAACTTTACGAAACTAACTTTATGAAAAATATAATGATTAATGTCAGATTAATGTGATAATGTTACTTGTAAAAAGTTTTGTTTAAAAAATAAGAACTATATGTGAGTACTTGAAGGATTTGCTCGATATTTTGAGAACCGAAGGACTGTATCGGTGCAAGATTTCATTGAGAACGAGGTCGGCCACCCTCTTTTGAAGAATGCGTTTTAGCCGGGCCCAGATAGGGTACGAGGGGTTGTACTGTTTGAAATAATCGATATCGCAATCTCGTAAGATTCTAAAGTACTTTAAAGCCGAGTTTCTGATAGAACACTATACGTGCAAACAGATTTTACTTTATGTCATAAAATTCAACCGCCTGTTTCAAAATTTCCACTGAAATTTCTGATTTCGTAAAAATTTGACAGGAAGAATATCTTCTGCATTCACATTTTTGTGTCGCGTGTTTTATTCGTTTTACAAGGCGTGAAGTAAACAGAATTCGGGGTTCGCAATACGAAACTGCATATGGCAGGACAGATGCTTTAAACCGAAACCGCTTTTCCCGGCCAGTTTCGAGCTGTGCGAAGCTAAACGTATTCTTCGGTCGCGTTCACGTGTCGAATTTCGTGGAACCTGGTCTTTTTTGCCTGTGGACCGCGAGTCACACGACACCCATGGTAACCGCCCCAAAACATAATCCACAGCGTGCCGTAATTAGGGTGATATTTTCACAAAAAGATATAGGGGTAAGGTGTACCGCAAATACTATTACCGTGAACGTTATTAGAGGTCTAAAGTTGTCCCTAAATAAACGGCGTCGCGTTACTCTATGAACAGAGACGTCGATCCTAACAGGAGTTTGTTTGGGCCATTCTATCCTTCGACTAGTGATCATTTGATGGTTTATTAATGACTCAATAACGAATTTAGAAGCAATTCAGCTAGTAATAATTTGAAATACTTCCTGGTTTCGAAACCTAGACAAACCACTGTCGGCGGTCAATACCTTTCCAAACAGAGTCAGAAGAATAAATTAACCTCGGAAGTAGACTGTTCAGTAAGGCCACGACCGGACCGAACGCATACTTATGATTACCGCTAGAGCAAACATTTCTCTCGCACTTCTTCAAACAAAAGCTCCGCTGCGTACACTTGACCCAGACCTATTCTCCTAACTAATGGTAGAGCACAAGGAAGCGCGGTGGACGAGATGCGACCCGTCTTGAAGGAACGGCGAAATCGAGAACAGAGACTGCGTCCTCGAGTCCCTTACGTTAATATCCGAGCACGTTGGCTGACTATCAGACGACGGAACCGTGGCGAATGCAAATGTCGCGTGTTCCGAGTCCACGTGGGATCGACGCGACGGAACGATCGCAATCACTGATGTCACGGGCCCGGCTTATTGGTCGCGATACGAGTCTAATAGATCGATGCTCGGGCCATTATTACGCGTCCCTGTTGCTGTTCAGCCGCCAGCGGTACACGTCTTGCAAATAACACGCCTCGCGCCTCTTCTAATGAGCCGGACGTGCACGTGACCGGATCTCCGTAAGCTTCGATTTTATGCGTAAATCCTTTAGTCTTGGGCAGCCATGTTTCCGCGGTTCGAGATAAATCAAGTTTCATTGCCAATTACTGCTTACGCTATTCCTGTCTAATTGTAATCTCGACTGTTTTATTTTTTCTATTTAAGCCATTGATATATAATTATAGATTCCTTATTTCGTTCAGTACTCCCTATAATATATTCCTCTTCAAGATCACAGTAAAATTTCCTCATTTATATGTATAACGAGGGACAAACCTGTAACCGGTAGTCTAATAAAAAATAATCTAAACTGGATCTATGTCATTAGCAATAGCTCGAGTAATGAATTTAAAAAATAAATGCCTAACTGAAAGATTCAAGACTAATATCGTTACGAAAGGGTTAAACAGTGTTAATAAGTCATGGGAGGAGATTAAATAGTCACCACGTGGATGCCCTCTGCGTCCCTCCTGAGATCACCGCTCCTCTGGCCAGCCGTGACGGCGGCGCTCAAGTGATTATAGTGATGTTGATGCAACGTGTTGAGCGTCTGCGTGTACGGGTCGCCGACGAGGTAATCGAGGTGTTGCGGCTGGCCGAGGCCCGGATGTTGAGGACTCGCCGGCGCGTGATGGTGCGAGGGGAACGGGGGCGGAAAGTACGGTGGTTGAAAGTCCGAGGCGGTGGGCAGCGACGCGCCCCCGTGATGGGGCATACCGCTCCCATTACCATTGCCCCTGTGACCGTGGTGATGGGCGCCGGAATACGGCGACGAGTTGCCGCCGCCCAGCGACGAAATACCCCCATGACCAGTCAAGCGGTCCTGTGAACAAATAAATTAACATTTCCTAAGTATCATTCATTCGTTCTCTGACATTGAAATCAATGAAACGTCAAATCAATCAAAGTGCATTTGATAGATTTTGCTTGTACACGGGATGTAAAGTTATTCAACTGATTTCCATTAATCGTGCACTGTCAATTATTTTTAACGTAGGCTAAAAAGCGATTGAATATAGGTTGGAAATTGGATATCATAGATCATGCACGTAAATACAGATTGTACAATATTCCAGTAGTAGAACTCAGACACTGTAACGCCATTAGATATTATACTTGCTCGGTCCATAAGCAATAATTATTATGGTTTCTCACTGAACCTCTTAGCTGTACGCAAACATCGCGTAAGTTATGCGTATCGGAAATCGAATTTTTCACCCTGTCGTCATCGCCGGTAATCCATGTATCTGTACTGTAATTGCGCGTAATCGCATCCGGCGCGGCCTCACGCGTCGAGTCGTGAAAAGGACCGGGGAAAGATAAAAAGTAATAACCATAATAAAATTGCGAGCAGAGATACTTCGTTCGTCTCGTAACTTTCACCGCTATTAAAAAATCGCCGGCCACCGGTAATTGCGGTGACTAATGTACACCGGCTTCTTCCAGCCGGATGAAAATAGGGGAAAAAATCGCGGAGGCCTGTCATTACTATAAACGATGGTGCGCATATGGGACTTGTCCGTCGGAGGCGATCAACATAAACGCGGTTAAACGCTATGCAAATCTCCTGCAAAGCAAACAGCTTAAGGGCAGGCTGTAGGTGTGGCACAGATTTCTTTCGTTCAATTCCGATAAAATTGAATTCTTCACGAGAGATAATAGAAAATGGTTCTCGAAATTAATTGGTATCTCGTTTCGAGATTCTTCTAATTTTCATCTAACGGTGTCGTAAAACTCAGATAAGCATCGAGAAGTAACAGACTTAAATCGATTCTCTGTGAACTATAGACTGTATGAAATATCAGTCACAAATCGCAAGGTCATCCAAGCAAATTGCTTAGCTGTGATTAAGCATATTTGAAAACAGCGGATTGTATGCACAAGCTCGCCTTAATGAACGTAATTAATAAGAGCGAAGTGAAACGAAGTATTATTTACCGATTGTCAAGTAAATTATCTTTAAATCTGAAATCTACACTCTGTGATCTATAAATTAACGATTGTTTCAAGGATTCTTCTTCTGTTTTGTGAAAGTTAAACTGAAGTGTGGCGAGAGATATTCTTGGATATCTGAAAGGGACCAAGTTTTTTGCGTACAATGAAAGACGGAACTTAATCTGGTCCAGTGATCTGTCGATGGCCCGATAACGCGGTATTACTCAGGTAGATAGTATCAGCGCAGGTGATTTATCTGAATATCGGCGGAAAGGCTTTGTATCGACACTATGCCGGTGCAGGCCATTAGGTTTCTGTACACGTGATACGATCTCGAACATCTTTATATAGCCAATAGGACCAAACGTGTACCTTTTCCATTCATGCGACCCTCTACCCCTGCGTCGATTTTAATTAACTCAGTTTGTGAAGTTAATATATACTATACAGCACGTTATGTTGCATAGTGGAATTCAATAGTGTTCAATAGTGAAATTCGAACGAGTCCTCTAATTCCTAAGTAAGACAGTTTAATTAGAAATTTATTTATCGATTCAATTAATCAGAAATTTTGTAAAACTTTTAATTATCAAATATTTAGTTTGATAATTATACAATCTATAATGTATGATACTTGCGTCACACTACAGATTATTGCGCGATTACGTTTGCGTCTTCGGATCGTGCTTAATGATTTCATTAGTGACTTCAATCACTGTGTAATTACGGTTTACGTTAAGTAATTAATCTGGCTATCTACGTCAGCATAACTTCACAAGCTGAATTAATTACATTATTTCTGATTCAGCCACTGTTATTAGTTTCACGACTTTTCCAAGAGAATTACTTGCGTATATTATATGTTCAAATTTGCATATGTTAAACGGTGAAACATTTACGCGATTGGTATGAATTTTTAAAATATGATCGCATGACGTGGAGATATGAAGAATGGATGAACTGTGCGAGAATATGGAATTTTTTTTATACTTTTCATCTTTCAAATGGGCATGACAAAAGTTTCGTTTTGCATAAGAATCCGTAGTCAAGCGATGAAGTAATTAAAAGAAGCAAGAGATCGAACGCGTGAGGAAGGATTTGATTATTCGTAACGGCATTTAAGAGAACTGCGAGTGAAAAAATTGTAGGAAGGTCCGTTATAGAAGGGAACTGGCCAAACGCGTGGCTCCGAATCTGGCCGATGGCAGTGTAACAAGACAAAATGTAGCTTTGTCGCTTTCGAACGCGGTTTCCAAATCGGCGTTTCGAAATCGGCTTCGGTAGGACCACCGTTCAGGGTCGTTACAACAGAGGGACGCGACGGCGTGCACGGATCGTTCCGTTCGGTACGAAATATTTGTCGTCGTTTAACGAGCCGCGTCGTTACGAGGAGAAGTACCGTTTTCTTTTTCGGTGCCAAAGGGAGGCATCCGGCCCATTAAGGCGTATTTCAATTTGCAGTAATGTTTGTTACTCAACCATTATAGGCGGACTTTCACGTGAGTCCGGGACCGACACGCGCCTCCAATCCCTCCCGATAGTTAAACATCCGATTTGAATTTATCGGCTCGTTAAATTTTTACCTTCGAATAAAAATCATTCGGGACATGCCTAAATCCGTTTTGACGCCGTTAACATCCGTTTCAATACTCTCCTCGTTCTTCTCTGATCAACGCGCGCATTAAACTGACCATTTTTTTTAGGATTTAACCACCATGGGAAAGATTCAACCTCGTGACTTCACTTCAAACTCAAATACCTGTTCCTCATTTATTATTTTAACAAAAATCTTGGCATCGATCTAAGTCGTATATTTTAAAAGACTTTCTTATTGATTCAGTGTCAATACACGCTGTCATAAATGATTGATGGAAAGTGATTTAAGAGGTCTGAGAGTATGCAGATAGAAAAAAGGATCGTTTAATAACGGGTCCGATCAAAATCGGCTGACACAATACACGCATACTAAAATTTCGAGCGGAGAACAAGCTGCAAACAACCGATCCGTTTCACAAGACGTGTATAGGCACACGCATAGCCAAACTTTCCAGCTGAGATCGCTATTGATAACGCGGAGAGAAATCGTCCTTCTTGCCACACACGACAAGTAGACAATTAATAACCAATAAGCCGAACTCCGTGTTGAAATCTACAGATCGTAGATTACGAATAAATAACTAGATAAGAAATTAACTCCATACAGCTATGAGCAATTCACGGTTAATATATTCCCAAATAATATTTGAAGTTCAGCCAAGTTAGAAAAGAGTTTTAGTATCTTGTGTCTTCTAAGTCTGTGACTGGTTGTCTTTGTCAAGTACAAACGTTTAGAGACATTATTTAAATGCAGATTATTAGCAATATACAATATTTAATGTACAAATGTTCGGTAAGGACAATTCTTTACAGGTTTTCCTCAAAGAAGATTTAAATTGTATTTCTATATACTATTCCCAACGCATAAAGACTCGAGTATGAGTAATGCCTCTAAGAATGATAGCTCGAGGATCCTCCTTCCTTTGAAGCAAGGAAATTGGGCATAAATTTCACCGTAGAACGCGTGGTTGTAAAGTTAAACGTGCACTCGTAACGCGTAGGCAAACAGATGATTAATCGTAAATTTGATTAATTTCATAACCCGAGTTTCGTAATTCGCACACAATATACCTGTTAAAAGTCTAAATGTCAAGTACTCTCAACACTCACTCTTGAAAACTTCTGATAAAACCATATTCATAAACGAGTGGAATTACGAAATCCTTTTTAAGTGACCATTCCTCGTGCAATTAAACAATTTCTGGAATCGTAAAATTAAGACATTTAAATTGCAAATTGCGTATTAATGTTTAGTGTCATTACCGTCAGCTTCCAATGTGTCTCAATCAGGATGAGATTCTCATCCCCAAATGTACGTAATAAACCACTGGTACCCGGATTCAACATTTTCAATGTAGGAAATCTTGTGATTCTTAATTGAAACGCACCTCGACCTCGATCACGGTGGTCATGTCAACGTGGGGCGCGTAACAGAGCGCCAGCTTGTCCGCTGTCGGCGCTTCCGTCCGCGGCGGAAACATCCCTAAGATCTCCAGTTTGCCGGTTCCGTGGTTGAACCCGCGCCGTCGTCGATCACTTCGCGGTCACGCACACCACACAAACACGATGCTATGTCATTCGTGCATCACTTCTAAACGCACTCCTACACTTTTACCAATCACTTTTCCTTGGGTCAATGATTACGGGCTATTTAAGCCTTTCGTTTCATCGAACGGCGACGGCGTGTATGAGAATTATGCGACGCTGAGCACGATTGCGTTCTCTTCATTACTTCTCGTATCACTTTGATAGATTCGAATAAATATTGATAGGAGAAGGAGAAAATTGATTTAGATCGAACAATAAGAAACGCGAGAGGTCATTTTAAATATAAAGATTTAGATCATCTTCAAAGTTGAATGACAAGATTATTGTAGGATAAAATCAGCCACGAATTTACCAAGGAATCGGCATGTCGAAGGCAGCAACCCTCGTTGACTTAGCCGTCGCACGCGTGACAATTGCGAATCCGAACATAATCGCTCAAAAATCGTCGCATAAACTCGAATGGTCGCATTTGTAAAATCGACCACCGGATCCTTAATCTTCAGAGCAACGCGACACTATGGATCTCGATCGAATTCAGGGCCCGCGAGGGCGACTGAGTGATCGACGAGGAGAGTGAAAGATCGCGGGCTCGTTTCGCCGGTGGTGAAGGCGAGCGAGCCGGTGAGCAAAGGAGCAGAACAGCTGATCGTGCGTCGTGTTGCGGCCGACCGACTGAACGACGAGTCGTACGAAAGTATAGCTAACAGCCGTGTGCCAGCGACGAAATGGGAGGTGGCACGGTGC